GAATGAATGTCTTATGACTTAGAATGGGCAATGTATTTTGTTTGCTTCTCTGGCGAATTCAATTAATGGACTGATGTCACAAGGACATCAAAGAGATAAGTAAAATTTATTAAAACACGATTTTAATCCTTACTTTCATTTATCAGTCAGCAAAAAAGAAAAAAAATTGATTTGGAAAACAATATTCCATATTAAATGTCAAGTCTGTACTTGCGCCTCGCTGATAATTTTTGGCGTCATAAATACTATTATCAAGGACGCCAGATAAATACTATAATCTGGGACATCAGATGGAGTTATTATTATTTTTACTGTTATTGAAACTATTATTATGTTTATATACGCTTAAATACACATATTGTTGTTATCAAATCTTCTGCATCAAAAATATCGTGGCAAATTAAAGTTTGTCTGATATACATAACTGTATTGAATTTTGAAGATAACTGTTAAGATACAGGTAGTTAAGTTTTTTCTTGACATGCATATCTGCGTCATTTGCATTGGATGTATTCGTAGACGCTGGGCATTGGACATTCATAGATATACAGGAAACTATGAACATTTACCTGTACATGCGCCAACGTACGCCATAAATATACGCCACGATTATTCATTATACAATGAATGGCAAATGACAAACATTATTCACCGTCTGGAAGGACTAATTTGACATTAAATGGAACTGAACTCCCGTGCTATAATTCAAAAAGGAAGATGCAGTGAACTAGACCATATGAAAGTCTTGGCATTTGTGTGAAAATGAACTTTGAATTTTATTTTAGTCATATGTTATGTGGTTATGTGGTTATAATGATACATTAAGTGTTGTGTAATGAATACCAAGTATTATAAATATATCTTTATCCATCCTATCAACCTTATGATTATCGATTTGATATTTAATCAGACAGATATTGGTGTTTTAACAGTATGTTTAACTTTTGTAACGCTGATGACATGAAATTGATGATTTATATACTTCATATTTTATAAGTTAAAAAATTTTAGTCAAATATTATTGCATGAGGTAATAACGACATATTAAGTATTGTTTAATAAATATTAAGTGCGTGACGTATTATAAGTATATCTATATTAAGCTTAGCAATCTTACAGCTATATGTTATCGATATTTTATCAGACAGTTATCGGTGTATTAATAGTATATTTTTCTTTTGTAACGCTGATGACATGAAACTGATGATATATACATCAAGGAAAATTTTCGCATTTATGTGGCTATATTATTTCTCGGTATAGTTTTATACAACCGTGGATTGCATATGTTATAAACAACTTTTTTTCTTATAGTCATGAAAGAGGAGCACTACATTGTGGATAAGTATGAAGCTGAACAGGTACTTCGTCATCGACGATGCGTTGGTCGCAACGTTGTGATGAATGCTGTTTATTTGAAGGGGCCCCAATAAAAATTGTCTCACGTAGTGCCTTCCAACAACATCTAACATGACAAACAAATGAAACACTGTATAAGAAAATGTGTTAGAGCCATAATAGAGTCACAGGTGTTTGTCATAATGGAAAAAGAAAAAGAATCTTGGGCAACACATTATAAAAGTGTAAATGCCAATTTCAGTACGAAATGCGTCCATGAGAAAGTGTATTTCCAAGTAATAATAATAATAATAATAATAATAATAATCAGTCTACCTTCCTTTGAGTTATATTTTTGGTTTCATGTCGAATGTGCTTCTGTTTCATATGTTAGTTTGTTATATATAATTTATTTACTTCTTATATTTTTGCATGACTTTCTGATAAATATGGAGTGCTTAAGAAGGATTGTTTAAAGGTATATTTTAATTTTAAATATGCCCAGGGAGAGGCATATTGTTGAAACGATTATATTTATGCAGTTTACCTATATTCTGTAGTATTTACTCTTTTAATGTTATGGTTTAGAGCTAGCATGTACATCTCATGTAGCATGTACACCTGAAAAACTGAATATAGCCAGACAGTACTATCTCCAAGTATCCCAAAGATAAACGTTCTATAAGAAAGTAAATAACAGGCAAACCTTCCTTCGAACTCAATACACTGCAGTATCAAGTACCAAAGTATGATATATTCTGTATAAGTTGTCATGAAAGCTGAATCTTTAAGTAAAAACTAGTGTAAGCTTAAATAATAAAACACGTTAACCGGACTCTGGACTCGTGTTGATCAATTATATATTACCGTCGCGAACAACAACAAAACCGCGGTAATACCCTCTCCCTGAAAGATAATGTAATGTTAGTAATTGACAGCCATGGGTGAATAAAGAACGGGGGGTGTTTTGTAGAGAAAAAGAGTTTATTGACATGCTTTTATGATATCTATACAACTGCATGTAATGTAAACGGAGAGAAGGCCGCTAGAGATTGAATGAGGTAGAGACAAAAATTGTAAGAAAGTGGCGCGGGAAACAACTGGAAAATAGTTAATAAATAATATGGAATATTATAACTGAGTTGTACATATTACCCCGCGTACAGCAAAAGACAAAGACAACAACTTTGTCACACAGTGTACATGTACATCATGTATAAAGTTTAGTCGATAAAATATCGAATATGCACGGATTTGATGTAAAATGTCCATATTATACACTGTAGTAATAACTACGGACAACTCCACATTTTCTACACTTAGTATCTAAGCAAAAATTGACACGGCCTTTCAGGTCGTTTATTATTCTATCCTTTTCCAGCAGATCATTTGCCAGATGGGCTGACTTTTCTTTTAGTACTTTTATGCGCTCACTTAAAGCATTGATGATTGCACCCATATGTTTTCATAGCATTTACGTTTTCCTCTACTAAAGTTGAGATGTCTCTTTCCAAACTTTTCCCCATTCTTTCGTTATTATCAATGTTTTTTTTGTTTTTTTTTTTTTTTTTGTCCTTCTTTAATAATTTTAAGTTCTTTCATAATTCCTGTCATTTGCCCCACAAGCTGTTGTATAGCACGCAAGGAAAAAGAAAGTCAAAGAAAGGTCTGAGGAAAGGCATTAGCCTTTCACTGAAATTCTGAATCACTGTTTATTTCAAGCCGAAATACTCAAGACACGTGAAAAAATTGGAAAAGACAATAATAATAATGAAAATTACTATGTTAGCTGTTAAATATGAAATAGTTTTTAAATATTTGAAATAAATTACAAGTGTAAACTGTTAACTCCTGCTGCAGATGTATCTTAAATGAATGTGTTAAAATTCTTTCCTAAACACAATAATCTATATCTTCATTTTTCAAATGTAAATATGTGCAGCACAAAGTTTACACAATATTTCTCAAACAACAATACACTTACCTCACCATTTATGCCTTTCCTTGAAATAATAAATTGTAAGTCCTAATCTTGAATTTACAACAGAACAAAAATGCGTAGTATGTCTTTCTCCTTCGAAGTCACTGGGTAGTGTGGTATGAAGTGTCCAAACTAAAGGGAGTATCCCTAAACCTAAAGGTTATCATTTATGCAAATGAATGTTGCATCAGATGTGCCGGATCACGCGGCTCCTCAAGCACAATAAAGAAAATCAATATATACCTTGAAACGTGTTCACTAAACATGCTACCAAACGGGAGGGATGCAGCTACGTGGGGCGATTTTATTACCATTGCTTGCTTGGGGATTGGAGAAGACAGTGGGTTTGGTGTTAAAGAATTGTCTGTGCCGCCATACAAAACATTGTTTAAGTCTTTTAAAATGTTACTAAGCTGCTAATGATCCTGCTTAGGTGAGTTATTAGCTTTTCTTTTCTTACTTTTACCCATAATCACGTAGAGTCACCGCAAGCTCCAGTAATTACACTGTCATCACATTCATGTTTTACAAGGTAGGGCCTGCAGCCTGAATGCATTAGCTGGGCTGTAATATACCCCCCAGCATTAACCTACCCCACCAGGGTGTTAAAGGTGGTTCTATTGTGTTAAATTCTAAGGCAATTTAATTAAAGTTAGTGACTACTCACTCTTGATGTATTTTCCAAAATTCCATTACATCACACAAAACACCACGAAATGTTTTAATTCAACAGGAAGTTCAAAGTTGCATGCTGCATGCTGTCAGTGTAGGCGATCAGATTAGCAATATAACCAAACTTTTATTCAGTTTGCTGTTTTAATGTTCGAGAATACCAATATGTTCAGACAGAACAACGCACACTTTTATAATAACAGTAAATATTTTTATTTGCACCAATGAGATTAAAAAATAGTGACAACACCCATGCTTAGCAACTTAAAGGTCAAGGTTGCACGAGAAAATATTAAACAATGCGCTTTAGATATCATTGAGCGAACGCATACAATTTAAATGCCTTAGCATATGACAAAATATTTAATTCACGTCATCACACCGATTTCCATCTGTTGTTGATACCCTGAGTCACCTACCATATCCCGATAATTAGGACCGCCACACGCACCTTATTTCTAGTACAAGTAGTAGTAAACTACGTTCTGCGGTAACTGTGGAGAAAATGCTGAATCTTGGCCAGATCACTGTGGCCACCCTAGCACCCCGAGCAGACGAGACGTTGCGCTAGTTATTTGTGATAATTATATTACAAATAAAAATGTGGTATGGATGAAATGATCCCGCCCCTCACATTTTCAGCATGCAGTCAGCAACATAACCTGGCACATACTCCGTCAACCAAATGTACACCGCTTTCGAAAGTATATTAAAAGCGTTTTAAAATATGTCCAAATCATTTTCTACGCCTACGATTTATACCTCGGATAATTACAGGAAGACATGGCGGTATACCTAACCAGAAATTTTGAACTAAATTATCTAAATAGAAACAGTATAGCAAAGAATCTTAGTGCAGGTGCGGACGAGTCTTAGGTGCTTAGGAAAAATTGTATGGCTTTTTTTTCTTTAGAAAACTTATATTTGGCGCAAAGACTCCGGATTTGTTACCTTTAAGAAACGTGTCACAACCTGACAACAAAATCACCTTCCATGGATAACGTATGGATTTCTTGCAGTAAGTACCACTTCGTATGGCAGTCAGAGCAGTGACACAATAAATTTGCGAGGGAAAAGGTATATTTGCAAGCCGACATTTTTCACAGGTCCTCATCTCTCACCCTCCATTCCCACACAAGATTTTTGCTAACTACGTCAACTTAGCGATGTCTGGAATAAATTGCGGTTCATTTTCTGGACGAATTCCCGGAGTCGCGTAGATGATTTTATTTACCTCCGGAAGACGGCGCCAACGCAAAATGTTTTGTATTATCGGATGGTCGGCACGAAAATTGTCCAAAATGAATTTGGTCGAAACTCTAAAGTTCATTTGATTTTTCTTTGTAGCAGAACCGTTGATGTATGCAAATATGGGCTCCTTTTTCGAAAATACACCAATTAAGTTTGTGGCGACATTGTTATTTGTATCGTTCCGCAGTGAAGATAACTGAAATGCCTTTGCAATTTCAAATTTGATAGAATCGTGATAAACAACGGCTTTCGAAGCCTTTTCCTTTTTGCTATGAAAACGTTTGTTGGTCACTTGAACGTCATTGCACTGGATTCGATACGAATTATATAGCATGGCTGCCCAATAATCAAGAAAAAGTTGTGAAAAATACCAAGAAATATGATCCAGTTCCTCGGTATACGGTAAAACACAAGAGAGCGAATGCCTGTGAAAAGCTGTAAACATGGCATCGAATTTGAAATTTATATTTACGCGTGCTCCTTTTTCTATGTAATTCTTTGCATAATGTGGATATCCGATGGCAGGTTCCCATTCCAGAAGAAAACTTTCGAAAATGTCAAACGGCGTGTCTTTGGTTGAGTTTCTACTTGTCGAGGAACTGTTAGTATTTTTGCCTGTTGGCAATGGAAGTAATACTGCGTCGTCGTCCAGAAATATGTAGTACAAATAACCACCATCTTCGCGTTTGGAAGCCCGTCTGACGGCTTCCCTCAGCAGCATGTTTCTTCCTTGTGTCCAGGTACTTTTTGGAAAGTAAAAGTCTCCAGACCGGTCAGCGAACGTTAACCAGATAATCTGACGGTCAGATGAATGTTTTAGTCCCTTAATTGATTTAACGCTTGGGCCTTGAATGAGGTACACAAAGCGAGCAGAAAGGCTTTCTGTATTTTCATATTTTCTATCTGTCAAACTGGACATTGTCGCTGTTTTAACTTTGTCCTCTCCATCTGGGTTCTTCAGTGACGAGGACGCGGGAACAGACGTCACCGTACTGCCGATTATTTTTACACCTGAATCCTCTTGTTTCCCATTGTTATCATTCATGTTTACCTTGACACTTTTTGAAGACGACTGGGTGACCATAAAGGTTACGTATTTATTTAAGTAACTTGCCGTAAAAATCAGCATCAAAATAACCAATGCACTGAATATTCCCCTCCAGTTTCTTCTCATTTTTCTCGCCTCTGGGATACACCTATAACAATAGATAAAAATGCATTAAGAAATGAGCTATATATATTTCTACCTGTAGATCATTGTTGCGGAAAACGCGTCCTCTAATCTGAAAGGCAGACGTCCTATTTAACCGTGCACACTTTACGGTAACGAAGAGAAAAAACAATTTAGCTGCAACTGCATTTTTCTTCACACATGTCACCGTTCTTTTAAAAAAGTGGTGACTCCTCATGAAAATATGAAAATATGAAGAATGATGTCCTTACGTCCACTGAATAATTTACACTGGTAAATTGAATACCCCTTATCGAACAAAATATAGGCCAATAACAAGGTAGATCGGCAAGTGCGGCTTGAGGTTCATCCTAATTTAGACTTGTGGCGTGGCATAGTGTTCTCATACCTCAGTTTAATTCCTCTTTGGCAAATGACATTCAGGAAAAGGCCCCTATGGGCGTGCATAGTAATACGACTGCAGCTGTTGTTGAAAGCCCTGAGATAATCAATTAAAAAAGTGTCCCTCTCTGTACTCTGAATTGGTGGGTGACGAAGGTGGTAATGTTAATAATTTAAAATTTGTGGTGCCCTCCCTCGTTGAACAATTGAATGCTAGACGCTGATATGTCATTTACGAGGGAGTCCCCAAGGATAGAAACCCCGGTTCCCATGGATAAGTCCAAGCCCCCTCCCAGATTTTGATCAACTTCTTCATGTTACCCCTAACCTGTACAAGTGTTATGGAAGGCGGATTGTCTGTAACACAGACCCTTGGTGTGCGTGATTGGGCTCTAAAAAATTGTCAATTCACCATCGCCTCACGTCCCTCCTTGAGCGAGGTCACACACCAGTCAATTCATAGGCCTATTCTGTTGTTGGTCGTCGTCATGGTTGAGCATACAAACCCATTGTTATAGTATTGATTGGCAACAAAAACGCAAGGTAAATTACTAGGTCAAGCATGCCAATGCTCCATCGATCTGTACACATGGATAGTACAAAACCCATGCATTAGCCTATATTGAAAGTAGAGCAGGTAGCATTCATGTTTATATACCTGTCTGGAATATTGCACTCAGATATATATAGCAATGGTCTCTGCTCCGAGGAAGTTGTAAATGCACTTTAAACCTGCTAAATTTTTAATAAACCCATTATGCTTCACCGCACCAAGTATTAATCCATCTTATATTTATATCTGTGAGCATTTAATAGCCTGGGTGTAGGCCTATCCTAGGAACCTCTAGTCGGCCTGTCCATACAAGCTCGTCCACTTACATAGGGAAACTCTAGTCAATTCACCTAGACAGAGTAACAACTATCAACATCTTCAATACTACAGATATTGTAGAGGGAGATCAAAAGAGAGAACGCCCTGCTTTGGGCTTGAGTTCGCCGTTTTCTTACCTGTTAAAGCCTATGGTCAGCGTACCCGGTACCCTCACTCAATGAACGATGACTGCAGCCTGCCTCTGTCTTGATACACTTCAAACATCTAATTACATAGGCCTACACTAGGCTATAGCATGGCCTGACCGTCACACACGCCCCGATCCATCGCATCACGACGCGGACGCTTTTAAAAGGCTTTCCTCAAATTGCAGTAACCTTTGCGTGCACTTTCACGTCTGCTTGAGAGGACCCAATATTCTCATATAGAAGGTGCAAAATAGTTCTGGTGATTATGCGCGCGCATGAGTTAACAACAAGACGGTGTCCTTTCCTTATCCCCAAAAAATAATAATAATACATTTAAGTTAAAACGTGTCGACAACTGGCCGATCATTAAGCATTCATATTGCAACCAAATCGATGTTTGTGCCTCCTTTATTACGACAACAGTGATGCCAGTTTCATGGTCCCACAAAGGACGCAGAAAAGACGCCGTCTAGTGTAAAGGGGGTTTTAGGGTGTCTGACACAGATTTATTGAGTTACGTAATGGACGAATTATACAGTGGTTATGCGTTTTCCATTCAAATGAAATTTGGAATTCACATTTTTATAGTATGTTATAGTATTTTTATAATATTGCAGGAGACTCATTATGAGGTAAGTATGCCAATTATTCTGATTGAAAAATATATACATGTAGTTTATATTTGTTTTTGCAAGGGTTGTGCGAGCTGTGCTCCACAACAGTGAAAAAAAAACATTTTTATACATTGTTTCTTGACAAAGGAGGGTACGTAGATTTTGTTAGATTGTGCACCGTGTGACCGATACAGGCTCATTCAGAGTATACTCCGACTACAGTTTTAAGATAAACTTATGATCTAGTGTAATTTATAATATTAATTAATATCACATTGCGACGTGCGCGCTAGTACATGTAAATGCAAGCACCTGCCATATGACATTACACGCACGCGAGCGCTACTTAAAGTGAATCATTTATTTTAATGTGAACTGAAGACTGCAATTCAAGAAACAGAAAACTGAGTTTTTATTCATATTTCTCTCTTTGAGAATGGTAACCACATATGTACACCACTAAAACTGTTTATCCATACACTGTACGTCAGACTGCAAATAAAGTATGGGTGTAGATCAGAACTGTTTTTTTACTAGCATGTTCTTTAATAAATAAATAAATAAATAAATAAATAAATAAAATAAAAAAACTACCATTCAGCATCCCAAACATTTTATTTTATTTTATTTTATTTTATTTTATTTTATTTTATTTATTTATATTTGTATATTTGGTCGCAGGTGGTTCATGGGGACATAATGATTTCTACGACTAATCTCAGCTGGTAGACATCCTGCGATCCCCTTTTTGCGGAGACGGCACGCACAGAATCACTCCACTACATGCATCTTGAATAAATATCACCTTTAATAAATGCTGGTTTGGCTACCATTATATAACCAGGGAGGCATATATTGCCATATTATGTAAATTGCATTGAGACGCAGTGGGGTGTGGGATAACAGAAGAAGTACCAGACTGGACTAAATGCTACGACAAAAGAAGTGCGTTCAGGCAATTACCATGATGCAACCCACTGCTTCACATGATCGTGGCGTAGGCCTACACAATGGCTTTCATACTTTGGGGAAAAAGCATTAATATACCTCCATATAGGCACTAAGATTTCGTTTTGGTGCAGCAAACTAGAGAACAAAACTTAAGAAGGGGGCGGGGTGCATTCATAAGGATTATTATATAATTCATATTCAGTTAGACACCGATCGATCTACTGGGTTGTCCACCCGTGACTTGACACCTCCTTGTTTCCTGGCTCAGGACTAACGAGAGAGAGAGAGAGAGAGAGAGAGAGAGAGAGTGAGTTCCACAAAAATCAGTTTTACAAAAACATTATCTAAAATAATTTTATTACTTTCATCAATGTTTGTTTACTTGTGACTTGCAAAAGATAGACATTCTACCTGTTTACAAAAACTACATGTATGAAATATCAGAGAACTGTACAGACTAGATTAAGTATAACTATCAACTTGTGTAATGAAGACAAAGGATGTCACCAAGAATAATCTTCTAACTGTCGGATATAAATAACCTGTCATGTTTGTATCTAAACGGAGACATTACATTTGAAAAGCAATCATTTTTTATCAGAGAAGAATTTCATCAGTTGTGCAATGTTGTAAGAGTGAAGTGATTTTCTGCAATCGACAGCTAATATTAAAATAGTTTATGTCATTCCTTTCTGAAAATGCTCTAGAAAGACCGAAATATTAGAGGTAAACAATTTCAATATTTGCTGTTGATTGATGAAAATCACTTTACTATTATAACCATTTCTATGAGATAAACGGCTTTCCAGTATCAGGTATAAAATTGGGCTCGTGGGAAAATTTTATATATGACCTACTATTACCATAGAGTATGTGTTTCACCTCAGGCATCTGACGCCACTTTAGCATATTTTTAGTTAGGGGATGTGACCGATTAAAGTTTTCTAAAATAAATTTTGTCGACAATCTGTATTCCATCTCTCCTTTCTTCTTAGCCGTCCCTTCACTTCGCCAGTAATGAGGCTTCTCTCCAAAAATTTGTTTAAGAGATTTTGATTCTGGGCTGGAAGTGGTGTTTACACTTATGTCGGAGCGTAATGCTTGCATCAGATATTTGTTCGGTACATTGAAATCTAAAGCATCTTTGTATTCGACTTCATCAGATTTACGTGCACCGTAATGACTCCGGGAGTTGTACTCCAGAATAGAATTACATTGCACTCGGTATGAATTGTACAACATAGTGGACAAAAGAATTACAAACCACTGTGAATAGAACCACGATTCGTTGTCAAGGTCTTCCATGTAGGGTAGGAGACTTGACAAAGTGTGTTTATGAAACGCAGTAAATGCAGCGTCAAAATTGTAATTTATATTCACTGGCGAATTCACGTCCACATAATTTTTACGCAAAGGACCATACGACGCCGCCGGTTCATAATCTATCAGAAACTCTTCAAACCTTTCAAATGGAGTGGCGGGGATATTATCTTTCCACCATCGTTTTTTGTCGTCTATAACCTTCAGTTCTAAATCATCATCCAAGAATATGTAATAAAGATAGCCGGAGTCGGGTCTCATAGCCGCCCTACCCACAGCCTCGCGTAGAAGAATATTTCTTCCCTGTGTCCAAGTTGTCTTAGGATAAAACAAATCTCCATTCTTAACCTTGAATGTTAGCCAGATGATCTCTCTATCTTGGCTTTCAGTAAGTTGGGGAAGCTTGCGCTTCTGTGTACCTTGAATGAGATATACAAAACGAGCACCTGCGGTTGAAGGGACATTTTCTGTGCGACGACTCTGAGTTGTTTCTTCTGCCGCCTTACCCACTATAATTTGGTCATCGTAGCTTGCCTTTTCCAGGTCTGAACTTTGTTTTCTTAATACCAACACGAAGACCGCACCCACAGCTAGTATAGCGATCACACCAGTTTTCACGCCCGCCCTCCTCGTCGCCATCTTAGCATTGCAGTGCAGCAGGATCATTGTTGACAGTTTTGTTGTTTTCACGTGAACGGTCCCACAATGCAACGCGATCCGCTTAATGCATGTCAGTGTATGTCAACCTTATATTGATACATAAATGTATGGACTCTCCAGCACTAACAATCAATAGACAGATTTTTATTGCAGTGCCACAGCTCTGTATGAATTTTGTTTTTAAATTTCTTAAAAATCTTTTTTTTTCTTACAGTATCATTTTAGCATAGGCCTATAGTGTTTATAATGCATTAGAATAAAATATTATAGACATAGATAGTGGCAGCGCCACGAGCAAAAAGATCTTAAAGTTTTGTAAATTCTGGTTTTAGATTTCTTAATAATGATTTTTTTCTTTCAGGATAAATTTAAGACATACTATTTTCAATATTATAATACGCAAAAATAAGGTTGTAAGCAGTGTGACAGTACGGAGCCACAGCTTGTAACTTTTTAAAAAAGAATAGCCTACTGGTTTTTAATTTTGAATAACTTTCTTTTTTCCAGGATAAGCTTAACACACACTAGAACTATTCACTAATATTTTAATTTCGTTTATATTTGTCAGTTAAGAAGCATATAGACACACGATACTTAATATTAATAAGAATAATTTCATTAACTTAATATATACATGCAGGGGCGGATCCAGGATTAATTGAGGGGGGGGGGGGGGGGCCGGGGGAGGCGAAGCTGACCCCCCCCCCCCCCCCCCCCCCCCCCAGCCTAGTGTAACTCACATGAGTGTGCTCTAGTGCCTTTTCAGCCTCCCCTGAGAAATAATCAAAACTGCTCAATAGCTGCATAGTAAGTAAATTATACGGCATCCTGGATTTTGCCTTGTTAAACTGTGTTCTGGCTTGTTTAACATTGCCAATCTCCCTGGAAATAAAGTTTATAACTTAGTTTGGGCTATCCTGGATTTTTGCAATTTTTCATTATAACAGCAAAGTAGTGTCAAATAATTTCAAGAAAATTGAAACTTGAGAAATAAATTCATGATTACTAACAAAAACCTCAGAGAAAAAATCTT